GGGAGGCTGAGGCAGGAGAATCGCTTGAATCTGGGAGACGGAGGTTGCGGTGAGCCAAGATCGCGCCACTGCACTCCAGCCTGGGCAACAAGAGAGAAACTCCACCTCAAATAAAAAAAAAAGGCAGGCCAAAAGCTGCTCAAAACTCAACCTGTTTAACTTCTCTGCCTCCTCTTCACGAACTTTGCATGGGTCTGCAGAGGCCTCACACAGAGGGGCTGGCTGCTTGCCTTCCACAGAAGGATCCAGGACAAGGAAACCCTGGTAAGGAGGACAATGCCAGGAAACCAAACGGACAACTCTTTTTGTGCACGAGTTTTAAGAAGCCTGGCTGAGAAAGCTAGAAAAAGCAAAGGTCTTAGAAGACCAATCTCCATCTCCATGCTGCATGTCACACTCCACTGCTCTAACAGCTGCTTGGCCTCCACCTCAGTGCCTCACCCCTTTATCAGCCTCCTGTCCAAGAGCCTTAAGGCAGAAGTCCTTCAGGTTCCCATAGGGATCAGAAATCAGTTCCTTGAATTGCACATCATAGAAGAGGTTGGCCCGGAAGCAGGGAGTCTTGAAGATGGCAACTGGTTTCTTCAGGTGCAGGGCAGCAAACACGTCCTCTTGGACCTGTGGGGTGGCTGTGGCGGTCAGAGCCACACAAGGGGCATGTCCCAGGCGGGAGCGCAGGGCACCCAGACGCAAGTAGTCAGGACGAAAGTCATGCCCCCATTGGGAAACACAATGAGCCTCATCCACCACCAAGTAAGACAACAGGTGGCGGGACAGCAGGGAGTTCAGGCTGGGCTGGAAGGAGGAGGAAGCCGCCATCTCCGGGGTGATGTACAGAATCTTGGTCTGGGGCTTTTCTCGCTCCAGGTCAGCAAGCAGCTCCTTCCTTTCCTGTGCAGAGAGCTTCGAGTTCAGGGAACTTACTCGTACCTTTAGGGCTAGCAAGTGGTCCACTTGGTCCTAAGAAAAGAGAAAGGGGCTACAATTGGCCCTCAGGACTCAGGTAAACGTCACTGCAAGTCCCTGGAGGATTTCCCAGTCATAAACTGTCCTCCTCCCACCCTCCACTATGTCTTTTCTTTGCATAGAAGTAGTATAGGTTGAATATCCTTTATCAAATGCTTGGGATCAAAAGTGTTCTAGATTTCAGATATTCCTAGATTTGGGAATATTTGCAGATTGCATATACATAATGAGATCTCTTGAGGATGAGACCCAAGTCTGAACAGGAAATTCATTTTTTTCATGTATACCTTATACATATAGCCTAGGCGTAATTTTATATAATATTTTTAATAATTTTGTGCATGAAAAAAGAGTTTTGACTGAATTTTGACCGCAGTCCATCACATGAAGACAGAAAGGCGTGGAACTTTCCACTTGTGGCGTCATGTCAGCACTAAAACTCTTTGGATTTTGGAGCATTTCAGATTTCGGATTTTTTTTTTTTTTTTTTTTTGGAGACGAAGTGTGGCTCTGTCACCCAGGCTGGAGTGCAGTGGCCGGATCTCTGCTCACCGCAAGCTCCGCCTCCCGGGTTTACGCCATTCTCCTGCCTCAGCCTCCGGAGTAGCTGGGACTACAGGCGCCCGCCACCTCGCCCGGCTAGGTTTTTGTACTTTTTAGTAGAGATGGGGTTTCACCGTGTTAGCCAGGATGGTCTCGATCTCCTGACCTCGTGATCCGCCCGTCTCGGCCTCCCAAAGTGCTGGGATTACAGGCTTGAGCCACCGCGCCTGGCCAGATTTCGGATTTTTGCATTAGGGATGCTCAACCTTTATGGAAGGTAAAGTGGTTTAGAGGACAGGCTCTGAAGTCAGACAGACTTCAGATTTAGATTCATCTTGGCTCACTTAATCACCACATGCTCGCTGGCTGTTTCTTACCCTCTGAACAATTTATACAAGTCTATCTAACAGAATTGTTGTATAACTTAAAATTTACATCTCAGAGGTGAAATTAATGTATGTAAAGCACTTAGCACAAAGGCTGGGACCTGGTGAACACTCACCAAGTTATTGCTGTTGTTCCCTGTCTCTCTACCTTTCTTCATGGTGGATGACTCTTACCCACACAGCCACACTTCCTCAATTCTGATTCTATCAGCCCATCTGCAGGCCTTAAATAGTCAGAACACCTGTAGAGCAGATGTTAATAAGGTCCCAGCCAGTTTCTCATCTTTTTTTCTGTTTCACATACTGTGCCCTTACCAAAATAAGCAGGACACCAGGGATTCCCCATATCAACTTAGCTATCTATCCATCTGCAACTTCTATCCCAACATCATGAGTGCACATGTGTATACATGTGAGACTGAGTGTATATGTGTGTACAAATACAGTTTCATACTCCTCTGGACAAAAAAAATAACAAGGGAGGGTGAAGGACCTCAGAGAGTCATTCATAAACCCCCAGAGTGATATGCACCAGTGGAGAACACTACATTGGGGAAAAACAGAAACCCAATGCAGCAAATGAGATAGGCAAATCATAGAAAAAAAGAGGCAGGGGCCGGTGCGGTGGCTCACACCTATAATCCCAGCACTCTGAGAGACCGAGGCAGGCAGATCGCTTGAGGTCAGGAGTTTAAGACCAGCTGGCCAACATGGTGAAACCTCATCTCTACTAAAAATACAAAAATCAGCCGGACATGGTGGCATACACCTGTAATCCCAGCTATTTGGGGGACTGAGGCACAAGAATTCCTTGAAGCCGAAAGGCGGAGGCTGCAGTGAGCCGAGATTGCACCACCACACTTCAGCCTAGGCGACACAGTAAGACTCTGTCTCAATAAAAGAAAAGAAAAAAGAAAAGAAAAGAAGAGTCAAAAGACCAATAGAGAAGTGAAATTTCCAGCCTCAAAAAACCTTCCCCGAATCTTTTTGGGCTATCATCTTCATTGCCCTAAGCCTCACCTGAATCAAAGCAATGAGAGGAGAGACTACAATGGTGATGCCTTTGGCCAACAGAGCAGGGAGCTGATAGCACAGGGATTTTCCTGCCCCTGTGGGCATGCACACAAAGACGTCCTTGTTACCTGCAAAAATACAAGACAACAATATCTCAGTGCTTCCTGCCTTTTCATGGAAGTTGTTGAAAATTAAATGAGAATGTAGGAAAAGTACCTAGCAGAGTGTCTGGCACATGGAAGGGTCTCAATGTAATGCTAATACCCCTCCTGTCCTTTCTATGAAAAAGGCAAGGATCCTGGGAAATTTGGACACACGCTCAAACCATTTCTAGTAATGGTTAAAAACAAGATTTAAAAAGTCTGGGGCGGGCACGGTGGCTCACGCCTGTAATCCCAGCACTTTGGGAGGCCGAGGCAGGCAGATCACGAGGTCAAGAGTTTGAGACCAGCTTGGCCAACATGGTAAAACCCTGTCTCTACTAAGAATGCAAAAATTAGCCGGGCATGGTGGCATGTGCCTGTAATCACAGCTACTCGGGAGGCTGGGGCAGGAGAATTGCTTGAACCTGGGAGGCGGAGGTTGCAGTGAGCCGAAATCGTGCCACTGCACTCCAGCGTGGGCGACAGAGCAAGACTCTGTCTCAGAAAAAAAAAAAAAGGAGTCTGAGTCTGCTGTGATACGGATGATTTACCTAAACAGCCATGAAAGCAGAGTACTGCTAGGTGAGTGAGCACATCTGTGTAGACATGGCAGGACATTACTTAGAGAGCTTTTGTTTAGACATGTATCATTAATATTACATTGCTGCTCGCCTCTTGGCAACTTCCATTTGTCACCATATCTCAGGTTTATAACATTATTACTCTTTCCTTCTCTATCTGGGACCCAGGCCACTCAATCTTCAACAAGGGAATTACCTAGAAGGCCAGTGACCAAGTTGTTACTACTGCCACCCTCACTGTTGCTGTTCGTTTGTGTGTACAAACGAACAATAATGGGAATCTGAAGTGTTTTCAAAGACCATGTGTAGATCTGGCTATGAACTAAAGACCAGACGGGTGGTTCTGCCATTAAAACTACAAGCTTTGGGCCAGGTGTGGTGGCTTATGCTTGTAATCCCAGTACCTTGGGAGGCCGACGTGGGAGGATTGCCTGAGCCCAGGATTTGGAGACCAGCCTAAGCAACATGCCAAGACCCTGTGTCTCTAATTAAAACAAATAAATGAAACTACAAGCTTTGGGTGACAACTCTAAAGATTTCCAAATCCAGTTATGGACCAAAGGTGAGGCAGTGCGAAGGATCAGGAGGAGGGTGTTCTGCCGCAGCATTATGGTATAGCCAGCATAAATTTAAAGGAAGGTACCTTGGTAATGTTACCTTTTACTACTGCCATGGTCGCACTCTCCTGTAAAGGCGTCTTAAAAGAGTCAAACCCAAAGACCTTCTTCAGCGTACTCCGGACTCGCCGCTCAGGGTCAAGAGGAAAGGTGGTATGGTGGCTGCTCATCTTAGCCAAGAACAGTGGCCAAAGGTTAAGGCAAAGGTGGTAAAAGGTTGCCACGAGAACCCTCTGTTTTGCTTTAAAAATACAGCTTATTTTTCTGTAACAATTTGCTATGTTACACTTAAATAATATATTATTTTTAAGTATTAAAGCTGAAAGTGAACTGCCTCAAGCAATACATTCCTGGGTAATTAATATCTCCACTTTTACGCTCAATGAAAATAAATACATCGAACTATTCCAGGCCATGGTATAGCACAGAGCTAGAAATCAGATCAAGAAAAGAAACACAAATGTCTTCAGAATAGTTTGGAGAACGAGGAACCGTTTTCCTAAGATCTACCACCTGCTCCTTCTTCTATAAGCGCAACCACGACAACCATTCTTCCACCCCGGGACCCCGACCCCCTTCTCCCTTCTTCCTGAGCCCAAGATCCGCAATTTTCTCTCTTGGCCGGCTGACGCCTCCCTCTCTTCACCCTAAGATATCAGAACCGGCCGTGGTCGGCCCAGGAATTAAAGGCCCTTACTGGGCCGCTGCAGCTGGCTGGGCTGGTTCCGGAACCACTCGAAGACCCCTGTACACAAACCCAACGCAGAGAAGCCAAAGCGCTGGGAATTAAGCATTAGCCAGAACCCACACAATCTTATATCCGTCGCGCAGTGATGACGTACCGAAGCGCTGGCATGAGGGCGGAGCCAGGCGCAGAAAACTGCCGTTTTGATTGGTTTCCAGTGTGGCGCGGGGTCTCTTGGGACCCGAGAGACCCTGCCTTTCCGCCCGGAAGTCGGCGTCTTTGAGTCATAGGAGTGAGCCACGCCAGGGCTGTGGGAATAAGATGGCGGGGAAGAAGAATGTTCTGTCGTCTCTTGCAGTTTACGCGGAAGATTCAGAGCCCGAGTCTGATGGCGAGACTGGAATCGAGGCGATGGGCAGCGCGGCTGGTAAGCCCCAAGTGGGAAACTGGGAGAGGGAATCGGGTGTCTGCCCGGAATGCTGTACCCCTCGCTGGGCAGGAGGGAACTAGATGGTCATTGTGCTCCAAGCACCGGACCCCGAAGAATGGCCCGGGGTCCTGGATGAGATAGAGCATTAGAGACTCTGGACTAAGAATGAAGAATCTCCTTTCCGTTGTTTCGATTAATCTGCCTAAACTTACTGAAAGCCTCCGTGCCGGTTATAGTGATGGACAGAGGGATGGACGAAGAGGGAGTGGCTGCTGAGCCACTGCCTGTTCCCCCTGGGCTCGTTGTTTGATGAGGGAGAGCGTTGAGTAAAACATACGTGGAGGATGGTAAAGATTGTATTTGTTAAATTTATAGCTTTTAGTTAAGAATGTGCCCTAAACACATCTTGGAGCTTTTAAAAATAAAAACGTATCTGATCCCCAAAGCGAGAGAATCAGTTCTAATTCGGTAGAAGTGGGGTAGGATGTGGACATTTGTGAACTTTTTAAGGATCCCGGGTGATTTTTCTTATTTTGTGAGTTTTTAAAGCCTATCGGTGATGTTCTCCTCCTCAGGTTGAGAAGCACAATGTTAGACAATGGAAATAGATTTCTTTGGGAGAATAGAGAACAAGTTACCTAACAACATATCTGGACCTTAGCTTCCTCATCTGGAAAGTGAAGTGGATTGGATTAGATTAGGTACTTTCATGTTTTGTGATTTTGTGGGGTCTCTTCCAGTCAGAAAGTTCTCTGATAGTTTCCTGTAAACACTATAGTGTTTGCTTAGTGTTTATAGCATTAGAAACAGAATTTAGTACTTGGTTTTGTTCCCTGACCTTTTAAATATTTTATTCACTAAATAATGCCCTTCTCAGAGAGCCGAATCTGGGCCTATTGTCACTTAACATGAGATTTAGGTTCCCCTTGTATCTTCAGAGATAGTCTTGGCCACTCAAATCTCTAGACATTTTTTCTTACATTGTAACTCTTGTTTTTTTTTTTTTTCTTGCTTTTTTTTTTGTTTGTTTTTTAATCTTTCAGAGGAGAAAGGCGGATTGGTATCTGATGCCTATGGGGAGGATGACTTTTCTCGTCTAGGGGGTGATGAAGATGGTTATGAAGAAGAAGAGGATGAGAACAGTAGACAGTCGGTAGGTAAATCTCCCAGATCCAGAGCTACTGAGAGCGCAATTTCATTTGTCAGATTTTGGAACTGTGCCAACAGTGTTCCATTTCATGGCTAGCTTCATTCCTTGCTCTCCACTTTTGTTTTAGTATTAGTGGAAGAAACTGGGTTGGATAGCAGTTCTGTTTGAAAATTTATTTTCACATGGATCTTTTTTTATTAATCTTTGAGTTGAAATTTGGGGGGAAAGATAGTGGATTATTTTATTTAACCCAGATATCAACGGGTGTTTTATGTTGATTTTTCCCAGTTTAAATTATTTACTCCCTTTATAGCAGGCATTCATCCTAATTGGTGTATCATTTGTATCTACAGTCAACTCTGCGTTGTTTTTAATCTTGGTTGGGGCTCATTTAAATTTTGTCAGTTTATTAACAAGATAAGAAAGGGAAATTTGTTTTCACCTGCTTTTTCTTCTTTTTTTTTTTTTTTTTTTTTTGAGGTAGGGTCTCACTCTGCTGCCCAGATTGGAGTGTAGTGGTGTGATCATAGATAGTTCATTCCTGCCTTGAACTCCTGGGCTCAAGTGATCCTCCCACCTCAGCCTCCCCAGTAGGTGGGACTACAGGTGGGCACCACCATGCCTAGCTAACTTATTATTAATATTATTATTTTGTCGGAATCTTGCTCTGTCGGCCATGCCAGGATGCAGTGGTGCGATCTCGGCTCACTGCACCCTCCGCCTCCCAGGTTTCAGCGATTCTCCTGCCTCAGCCTCCTGAGTAGCTGGGATTACAGGCACCTGCCACCACGCCCGGCTAATTTTTGTATTTTTCATAGAGATAAGGTTTCACCATATTGGCCAGTCTGGTCTCTAACTCCTGACCTCAGGTGATCCACCCACCTCATCCTTTCAAAGTGCTGGGATTACAGGCGTGAGCCACTGTGCCCGGCCAATTTAAAAAATTTTTTTTAAATTTTTTTGTAGAGACGACGTTTCACTATGTTTCCCAGTCTGGTCTCAAACTTCTGGCCTCAAGCGATTCCCCTGCATCACCCTCCCAAAGTGCTGGGATTACAGGTGTGAGCCACCATGCCTGGCCTTCTTCTTTCTTGACATTTTACTTGGCACTTTTTATTATGATACCTTTAGATCTTGATCACAAATCTTGCCTGATACTCAGTAGGTGCTGGAGAAAGGAGAATCTGTACTATTATTAACAAGAAAGGTTTTAGACACATAATCACCTGAGCAGCATGAGTCAGAATTTAAGTTTGCAGAAAACGCAAAGAAATTGAGGCTGGTTCTTAGCACGAGACATGCAAAGTTGAGTCTCGATGTCGAATCTGACTACTTAGCAACAGTTTTAATTGAAACACTTAAAATATATTATTTGTTTGAATTTTTTGTTACATGTTGGTATGTAAATGTTAGCATTAAAATTCATTCCAGCCAAGCAGGGTGGCTCACACCTGTAATCCCAGCACTTGGGGAGGCTGAGGTGGGCAGATCATGAGGTCAGGAGATCAAGACCATCCTGGCCAACATGGTGAAACCCTGTCTCTACTAAGAATACAAAAATTAGCTGGGCACGGTGGCGCGCACCTGTAGTCCCAGCTACTCGGGAGGCTGAGGCAGGAGAATAGCTTGAACCCGGGAGGTGGAGGTTACAGTCAGCCGAGATCACGCCATTGCACTCCAGCCTGGGTGACAGAGCCAGACTCCATCTCAAAAAAAAAAAAAAATTATTTCCACAACAAACAGAAATGCGTTTTGTACATTATGCATTTTGGGAGATATTTTCATGCCTTTAGCCCCATCCATTAATACTGATAATTCAGAGTTGACTGAAATTATTCAGAAAAGTTTTGCAAGTTGTTTTCTGACTTTTCTGAAGTACACACATTCTGGCTTAATATTCATAACTCTTTAGTACATTTGCATAATGTGTTTTTGAAGTGTTTCATATTTGCTTTGCTTAGAATTTTCATCATGTTTAAGCTTCATTTCATATTTTAGTAAAATCCTCTCATCAGCTCTTATTGTAGAGATTCTGAAATGTGATTGTATTTGAGCTCCATCTCTGTTTATTTGGCATGACTGATTTCATTTTAAGGAGATTATGGAGATTACATTTAAAGCCTTGGACTCACTGGCACCTTACAGGACAGTTAAGTCTCCAAATCATCAGTCTAGTTTGTTCAAATCTCGAATGGTATTTATATTAATATATGGAGTGCTCTGTAACGTTTGGGCTGAAGTGTAGCTTTGTTGAAAATAGCAGTTTCAAATGAAACCATTTTTTCCTGGGTATTTAGTTAAAGGTTTCTGTGCATTGGGAGTTTTGGGTAGTGAAGGTGACATGGATTTAGCCAGCTAATAAGGTAGCTGGTCCAGCATCTGCTCCTGACCTTTGACCTTCATAGCATCAGCATTAGTGTTCAGTGGAATGGCGGGCTCACTTTGGAGAATGTCTTACCGTGTGTGATCCTTTGTGTCAGGCTGACCTCATTTGAATAAGGAACAGGACTGGGTAGAATGGGTCTTTGGCAGTTCTGGGAGCCCTTAGGTGGAGGCAGAGCCCACTCAACTGGGACTCCTGGAAGGTTGGGCATTGCCCTTTAGTCCTGCCTTTCCCGGGTCACTTGCTCTGGTCATTTGAGGCCTACCTTCCTGTGTTGATGTTAGTGCAAATGCTGGTTGTGCTGTGATATAGCTGTGTGTAAGCCTTGGCACTTGGTGTTGAACAGTGTTACAGTAGGTCTGAGTCTGATGTACATATGTATAAGAAAAAGAAAGAAGGCTCATAATCCTGGTTTGAAATAACTGATATTTCAGTGGAAACACGATGCCTGTTTTATTGTGTGGCCTGATCTTACTCTTTCCTGAAACATATTGCAATCTTTCTCCATTTTTATGTATGTGATTTTTAACTCGGGCATCTTCATTGATGTGGACTGTCTCCCCGCTAGAGTAACTTGACTTCTGAGCTGCTGATGCTTTTTTGTTTTTTTTTCTCCCCCAGAATATCTCTTTCCCCTTATTTTTCTCTGGTTCTGAGTTATATGGTAGGGGAGGGATTCTTGGTGGGATGACCCCAGCTGGGTAAATGGGCTGTTTGCTGCAGCCCCTAGTTATGCATGTGAGACTCCTCAGGCCTGCTCCTTTAAGCTTAATCCTCTAAATTCTTTGTCTTGTAGGAAGATGACGATTCAGAGACTGAAAAACCTGAGGCTGATGACCCAAAGGTATTTGGTGTTGGCTGTGGTGGGTGGCTGGATGCAAACAAGGTGTTTGAACATTATGGCTCAGTTCGTATGTCTGGTCAAGATCTGTCCCACTGACAAACTGTGCAACTGTGTGGACATTTTCTGGGATAAAATAAACTTTATAAAGAACGAACCTGGAGATGACTCAGGAATGAACAAATCCTGAGACATTGGATTTCCAGCCTTTCAGATTGTGCCATATCTCCTGACTAGAAAGGCGAGAGGCTTGGCTGAGTCCAACAGCCCACTTGCATTCTGCCTCCCAGATGGGGCTTTAAGTGTCTCTGCCCTGCAGGTGGATTCGTCTGTTTCTAGACTCAGGAAGGTGTGAGGGCCGCCTCGCGTGCTTGGATTCTCTTTAGTCATCTAGAAGTGAACAACAGGCTATAAGAAGGTCAGACCAAAATGAGGCCTCGCCCCAGCTCTCGGGGATGGTGGGTCTAATTCTCATTTTCCCAGGGGTGTGTCCATCCACTTTTGGGCAAGCTGCGCGGAATGGTCTTTTTCAGAACAACATAACTATTCTCATAGTTGCATCCTAGTAGCAACCAAGAGTAATTTGTAGCATTTCCTATCACATTCCTTAATGATCTGTTGTGAAGGTTAAGACACCCTTGTGTTGGTTAAGCTGCTGTGCTGTGCATTGGCCTTTAGAAATGTGTACTTGTTGAAGAGGCATTTCTTTATGAGGAAAAACTTCCCCCCCGCCCCATGCACCCAAAGAAAAAGACTTAATTCTACCACTCTAGACCTCCGGGGAATAAGGACCACGTTTTCCAGTTAAAAACTGCTTTGAGGCCAGGTGCGGTGGCTCACGCCTGTAATCCCAGCACTTTGGGAGGCCGAGGTGGGCGGATCACTTGAGGTCAGGAGTTCAAGGCCAGCCTAGCCAGTATGGCGAAACCCCGTCTCTACTAAAATACAAAAATTAACTGGTGAGACTGGTGGGTGGTGCGCACCTGTGATCCTAGCTACTGGGGAAGCTGAAGCAGGAGAATTACTTGAACCCAGGAGGCAGAGGTTGCAGTGAGCCAAGATCTGCCAATGCCCTCCAACCTGGGCAACAGAATAAGAATCTGTCTCAAAAAGAAAAAAAAAAAACTACTTGGAAACCAGCTGTAACTTTCAAGATGACCTAATAAAATTTAGGAGATGTATGCCCAATTATAATCTAAAACAGTAACATACTTGAAAATATAGTGTGAGCTGTTCCGTATTGGAGCTGATTCTGTTATTGGATGGAACTGTGTGTAGCCACTAAAATCATGACAGGTTGTGAGTGAGAAAGGTAAGAGTGTGTTTTACCAAGAAAGTTTTGACACCAGCATGCGGGAAGGAAAAAAAAGAACCCCTGAAAACTGTAGATGCAACCTACTTTCTATGCTGAGTGAAAAACCTGAAACCCAGGCCAAAGAACTCACCCTGCGTGAGAACTGGCAAGATGGTATGGGCAGACCCATGGCCCCATAGTTCAAAGTCAGTCACAGCTCTGCTCGGGCTTTCAGAACAAAAACACTCAGTAGTGATAGTCTTATCTGTCCTAGTATTTAGGGTATATAGGACTTGGAGCCTGCATGGAAAACATGCTCAGGGAGCCATTAAGTGTTTGGGTTTCAGTTGTGGAGGGAAAGGAGGACATGGGTCCTAGAGTCTTTCTGGGTACAGTTGCATCTTTTTCTTAGGGCTGGAAGGCCTCCTGGGGAAGTTGGCTGGAGAGGAGGGTACATACACTTAACGGTCACCCCTTCTAAAATCCTGTGATACAGGCATCAGATCCTTGGGGAAATGACATGGCTTTGTGAGTCAAGGTAAGGGCTACATGAAAAACAAAACAGACTTGACTACTGTCTGGTAGCAGTCACTAAAGAACGAGGTGGGAGGGACCCAGAAAAGGTGAAGCTGGGAAGATTGTGGAAATGCCTTTTGTGCTTAGGCTTCCCTTCTCAGCCCCACATCGTGGCTGACAGCGCCGTCATTCCTGCCTGCTCCCTGACTGATGTGCTTTGGTGTTCCTCATTCACTCCTGTGCATTTCAAGTCTTACTGTGGAATGTAAAGTTTCATGGAATAATTTCCATTCCTCTTATGGAACACTCAGAAATCAGAACACAAAATCCAACCCTCAAAGTCACTTGATTTAGTTCTTTCGGAGGGTGATGGAGAAGGATTTAGATAGAGCTTGCCGCCTTCAATGTTCTCCAATCCCCAGTGGCTGCCAGGCCTTTAGGAGTCCTCGTGTCTTCTCCAAGGACTACAAATGATCCCCAGCATGAGTCTTCTGTGATACTCTTATCTTGGTCCTGGCCCTGTCATCTTTCTGCTTGAGCTGGCCTCAGACTGTCTTCCACATAGCAGCGTATACCTGAAATCCAGAGCTCTCTGGCACATTTACATTTTATTTTTTTAAATTTTATTTTATTTATTTATTTTTTTGAGACAGTCTTGCTCTGTCGCTCAGGCTAGAGTGCATGGTGTGATCTCGGCTCACTGCAGCTTCCGCCTCCTGGGTTCAAGTGATTCTTCTATCTCAGCTTCCCAAGTAGCTGGGATTACAGGTGTGAGCCGCCATGCCCAGCTAATTTTTTGTATTTTTAATAGAGTCAGGGTTTCACCATGTTGGCCAGGCTGGTCTTGAACTCATGGCCTCAAGTGATAGGCCTGTCTCAGCCTCCCAAAGTGCTGAGATTACAGGCATGAGCCACTGTGCCCGGCCCACATTTTTAAAAATTGATGTGTAACAATATTTTTTACATTAAAAACTCTTAATTTTGAACATTCTGCTTTAAGCATGTGAAGTTTTTTGGGTTTTTTGTTTGTTTGTTTTTTCAGATGGAGTCTCACTCTGTCACCTAGGCTAGAGTGCTGTGGTGCCATCATAGCTTACTGCAGCCACAACCTGCCAGGCTCAATTAATTCTCCCACCTCAGCCTCCCAAACAGCTGGGACTACAGGTGTGTGCTATCACACCTGGCAATTTTTTAAATTTTTTGTAGAGAAAGGGTTTTGCCATGTTGCGCCGGCTGGTCTTGAACTCCTGGGCTCAAGCAGTCTGTTGACATTGGCTTCCCAAAGTGCTGGGATTACAGGTGTGAGCCACCAGGCCCAGTGCACATGAACATACGAAGTTTCTTTTTTTTTTTTTTTTGAGACGGAGTCTCGGTCTGTCGCCCAGGCTGGAGTACAGTGGCCGGATCTCAGCTCACTGCAAGCTCCGTCTCCCGGGTTCCTGCCATTCTCCTGTCTCAGCCTCCCGAGTAGCTGGGACTACAGGCACCCGCCGCCTTGCCCAGCTAGTTTTTTGTATTTTTAGTAGAGACGGGGTTTCACCGTGTTAGCCAGGATGGCCTCGATCTCCTGACCTCGTGATCCGCCCGTCTCGGCCTCCCAAAGTGCTGGGATTCTAACAATAGAATATGTTACAAGTGTGGATCTTCGTTAGAAGTGTCGTTTATTTTAACTATTAGATTACTGTCATAATTGTCGTCTCCACTAGATGGCATTCTCCTTTCTACTTTGGTTTTCTGTTGGGTTTTTTTGTTTTGTTTTTGAGTAGGGGTTTCGCTCTTGTTGCCCAGGCTGGAGTGCAGTGGCGCAATCTTGTCTCACTACAACCTCCACCTCCCAGGTTCAAGCGATTCTCCTGCCTCAGCCTCCTGAGTAGCTGGGATTACAGACACACGCCATGTCGCCCAGCTGATTTTTGTATTTTTAGTAGAGACGGGGTTTCGCCATGTTGGCCAGGATGGTCTTGATCTCCTGACCTCATTATCTGCCCACCTCAGCCTCCCAAAGTGCTGAAATTACAGGCGTGAGCCAACACACCCGGCCTCTACTTTGTTTTTTTAAGATCTTTTAATTTTTTTTCAGTAGTTCTCAAAACATTACACAATTAAAAATTGAAGATCTCAGAGTTTTTGTTCATTTTGGTTTTATGTATTGATGTTTGCTATTTTATAAGTTAAAACTGAGAAAATTTTAAATTATTTATTTTAAAATAACAAACCCGGGCCGGCCACAGTGACTCGTGCCTGTAATTGCAGCACTTTGGGAGGCCAAGGTGGGCAGATTGGTTGAGCCCAGGAGATTGAGACCAACCTGGGCAATGTGATAAAACCCCATCTCTATAAAAAATGCAAAAATTAGCCGGGCATGGCGGCGCATGCCTCTGGTCCCAGCTACTCAAGAGGCTGAGGTGGGAGGATCACTTGAGCCTGGGAGGTAGAGGTTGCAGTGAGCTGTGATCTTGTCACTGCACTCCAGCCTGGGTGATAGACTGAGACCTTGTCTCAAACAAACCTATTACATATTGACATAAATAACATTTTTAGAAAAACTAAGTATTTCCCAAAAAATGTTAATGCAAAGAGTGGCACTGTGTCACCATTTTACAAATCTTTAATGTCTGGCTTAATAGAATATGAATGGGTACGTATAAATGCTTTTACATTCAGGTCATTATAGGTATTCTTCTTTGATACTTTATCAGAACTCAACAGGTGATACTTTCCTTGAAAGATTAGTTACATCATGGAATGTGAACCCTTACCAGTGAACTTTGTATTCTGCTTCCCTAAAATCCACTGGTCTGTCTTGCCCTATGAATGGATCTTTTACCCATACATGATTTTATATCATCAGGCACTGGTAATTTGAAAATTGATGGTTTACTGAGTTATACAGATCTTAATGTTGACACGTTTTGTTCTGTGGTATCAAAAAAGTAACATTTATTAGTGATGCAACTGATCTCATCGGAAAATCATTAAATTTTAGAAACCTTTTAGCAAGCCCACAATAAGGAGCAACACATTTTTCTTTTTATTTTCTTTTTTTTCTTGAGACAGAGTCTCACTCTGTCGCCCAGGCTGGAGTGCAGTGGCATGATCTCGGCTCACTGCAAGCTCCGCCTCCTGGGTTGATGCCATTCTCCTACCTCAGCCTCCCTAGTAGCTGGGACGGGACTATAGGCGCCCACCACTG